AGGGTGGAGGTGGCTGGACGCCCATGCCAGAATACCCTGAAAGGGCCCAGGGACACACACACACACAAATCCCAGGATTCTCCATAGTTTTCCCATATTTGCCTGGGCATCGACAATGACTTGTGTCTTTGTGTTCTTCCCCTCCTGATACTCAAGGCCCGGGCAGCGCAGAAGAGGCGGAGGCGGAGCTGAGCGAAGATGCACAGGAAGAGGATCACAGAAAGGGCGGGTGAGAAGAAGCATGCGAGACCAGGTCACATCCACAACCACCTTCTGCAGGATCGATCTCCTGTTGATCTGGATACGCTTGGCCGCAGAGGGTCTGCAGACGTCCATCGATCTCTCGGGCGGCGGTTATGGGCATTCATATGCCCACCCGAAGAGAGAACAACGACGGCGACGACGCGGGAACAATGTATCAATACCGTTACTCTCCAAACACCTCACAAGGTGCGTTCTGACCACGGCCAGCCGTTGCGACGACTGCCTCACTGTAGGCCCAATCAGGCGGAAACTAGATAGCGGTCGCGGCAGCGGTACCTTCCCCTACTGTGATCGCTGGTGTGAAAAAAAACAAGAAAAATTACACTACCGAGGAGCCCCACATACTTATATTATGGCTGGAGTGATGATAGCTGAAAAGAAGCATGTGATAATGATGTTGGTGGCCGTTCCCTGCGCGCCCCCTCTGATGCCGAGAAAATGACACGCCTGCCGCGCCGTGCGAGCCTGCAACGGATAGAGACCGCACCCCACGCGCACCCCCCTCTGTTATCGAGACGTTGCCACGCCTCCCGCGCCCTGCACGCCTGAAACGCATAGAGACCGCACCCCCTGTGCACCCCCTCTGGTGTCGAGAATTCCCACGCCTGCCATGCCCTGCGCACCTGCAACGCATAGAGACCGCACCCCCTGCGCACCCTCCTGGTGTCGAGAAAATGCCGCGCCTGCCGTGCCCTGCGCGCCTGCAACGCATAGAGACCGCACCCCCTGCGCACCCTCCTGGTGTCGAGAAAATGCCGCGCATGCCGTGCCCTGCGCGCCTGCAGCGCATAGAGACCGCACCCCCTGTGCACCCCCTCTGGTGTCGAGAAAGTGCCACGCCTGCCGCGCCCTGCGAGCCTGCAACGCATAGAGACCACCCCCTGCGCACCCCCTGTGGTGTCGAGAAAGTGCCACGCCTGCTAGGCGTTGCGCCAGTGTCGTGGATAGCGGCCGAGCTGAGAGACCACCCCCTGCGCACCCCCTGTGGTGTCGAGAAAGTGCCACGCCTGCTAGGCTTTGCGCCAGTGTCGTGGATAGCGGCCGAGCTGAGAGACCACCCCCTGCGCACCCCCTGTGGTGTCGAGAAAGTGCCACGCCTGCTAGGCTTTGCGCCAGTGTCGTGGATAGCGGCCGAGCTGTGCGCACCCCCTGTGGTGTCGAGAAAGTGCCACGCCTGCTAGGCTTTGCGCCAGTGTCGTGGATAGCGGCCGAGCTGAGAGACCACCCCCTGCGCACCCCCTGTGGTGTCGAGAAAGTGCCACGCCTGCTAGGCTTTGCGCCAGTGTCGTGGATAGCGGCCGAGCTGAGAGACCACCCCCTGCGCACCCCCTGTGGTGTCGAGAAAGTGCCACGCCTGCTAGGCTTTGCGCCAGTGTCGTGGATAGCGGACCGAGCTGAGAGACCACCCCCTGCGCACCCCCTGTGGTGTCGAGAAAGTGCCACGCCTGCTAGGCTTTGCGCCAGTGTCGTGGATAGCGGCCGAGCTGAGAGACCACCCCCTGCGCACCCCCTGTGGTGTCGAGAAAGTGCCACGCCTGCTAGGCTTTGCGCCAGTGTCGTGGATAGCGGCCGAGCTGAGAGACCACCCCCTGCGCACCCCTGCCAGAGCCAGTGTCGTGGATACCTGAGAGACCACCCCCTGCGCACCCCCTGTGGTGTCGAGAAAGTGCCACGCCTGCTAGGCTTTGCGCCAGTGTCGTGGATAGCGACCGAGCTGAGAGACCACCCCCTGCGCACCCCCTGTGGTGTCGAGAAAGTGCCACGCCTGCTAGGCTTTGCGCCAGTGTCGTGGATAGCGGCCGAGCTGAGAGACCACCCCCTGCGCACCCCCTGTGGTGTCGAGAAAGTGCCACGCCTGCTAGGCTTTGCGCCAGTGTCGTGGATAGCGGACCGAGCTGAGAGACCACCCCCTGCGCACCCCCTGTGGTGTCGAGAAAGTGCCACGCTTGCTAGGCTTTGCGCCAGTGTCGTGGATAGCGGCCGAGCTGACCACCCCCGCGCACCCCCTGTGGTGTCGAGAAAGTGCCACGCCTGCTAGCCTTTGCGCCAGTGTCGTGGATAGCGGCCGAGCTGAGAGAGCTCGAGAGTGCCACCAGGCCGCCCTGCGCACCCCCTGTGGTGTCGAGAAAGTGCCACGCCTGCTAGGCTTTGCGCCAGTGTCGTGGATAGCGGCCGAGCTGAGAGACCACCCCCTGCGCACCCCCTGTGGTGTCGAGAAAGTGCCACGCCTGCTAGGCTTTGCGCCAGTGTCGTGGATAGCGGCCGAGCTGAGAGACCACCCCCTGCGCACCCCCTGTGGTGTCGAGAAAGTGCCACGCCTGCTAGGCTTTGCGCCAGTGTCGTGGATAGCGGCCGAGCTGAGAGACCACCCCCTGCCCACCCCCTTTGGTGTCGAGAAGTGCCACGCCTGCTAGGCTTTGCGCCAGTGTCGTGGATAGCGGCCGAGCTGAGAGACCAACCCCTGCGCACCCCCTGTGGTGTCGAGAAAATGCCACGAGCTGTGCTGTGCTGTGCTGAGCTGAGCCGTGCTGGGCTGTGCTGAGCTGTGCTGAGCTGAGCCGAGCTGTGCTGTGCTGAGCTGAGCTGAGCTGAGCTGTGCTGAGCTGAGTTGAGCTGAGCTGAGCAGTGCTGTGACGAGGGGGGGAAGAGTGAAGTGTGTGTGTGTGTGTGAGGGGAGGAAGAAGGAGAGAGGAGGGGAGGTGTGAGAAGACGCGGGTGCGGCGCGGCAGGGAAGAAAACCAGAACCCCACGAAGCATGTGGGGAAAAACGCCCAGAGGACGATGAGGCTGATCTCGCCCGACCCAGGCGAGCGGCGGTATCCGTATCTAGAGGCCTCCCAGATGGGGTCCCAGTGGATGGGCTCGGAGGATCTCGCCGCACCGCCGATGCATCGCCGATCCATCGGCGATGCGTCGGCGATGCATCGGCGAACTCGGCGATACATCCGCGCCGTCGGCGTGGAGAAGCTCGGGCTCCACATCGAACCGCAAAGCCGATGCATCGACGTTACGGCGCGATCCTCCGACCCCATCTACTCCGACCCCATCTGGGAGACCTGGAATACCTTACAGCAGACTCGTGCCGTGACGACCCGTGTGCTGGTTCCTGACCCCGCGGGGATATCATTCAACCTCGAACGATCGGCTGTTTCGGGAACGCCAGATCTTTCAGCATCGATGGGCTCTGGGTCGCCTGCGGCGCTCAACACTGAAAGCTTTACCAGCCTGGAGCATATCCCTGTCCCTATGCTGGGCGTCTCCTCATCACGATGCCAATCTTAGGGATTCCCTTACTTTTTGAGGGTGCATCCCTAAGATTGTCATCGCCTTTTGGCGTGTCAATCTTAGGGATGCTGGTAAACGCTGGCGGCGGGGTCGCCGCTGGTCGGCACGGCGCCCACCTACTCTGTCCAGGAGCGCGCCCGGCGGCGGGGCCCAGACCACCAGCCGCACGCAGCAGATCTGCCATCGACGCGCGGAGCGCCAGCACGTTCATGTGTACTGCCGGCTTTTATCTTCGCTTGCTGGGCCCCCCTTCCCGATCCTCGTCGTCGGGCTCCTACATTCGGCGCCCGCGGCCGAGAGAGTGCCCAGAGGCTGGAACACCGCCGAGGGCGGCCGACGAAAATGCCAGAGAACCTTGCGCTTCGAAACCCCAAACCATAGTCCCAGTTCTCCCGATCCTCGTCGCCGCGTCCTTACCTTCGACGCAAGCGGCCGTGAGAGCGGCCGGAGGCCGCAATAAACCGCCGAGAGCGACCGACGAACATGCCAGAGAGCCTTGCACCTCGAACCCCCAAGCCACCCCCTGATCCTTCTCGCCCCCCCTCCTCCCCTAAAGGGGCCCAAGGACACACACACACACACACACACAAACAAAAATATATGCACAAATCGCAGGATCCCCCTTATTATATCCCTAGACGCATATCCCATGCTCTGGGTATCCGTCTCCCGCCACTTCCCAAATGTTCCCATATTTTCCTGGGAGTCTGTGCGTTCTTGTCCTCCTACCGATCCATCACCCCATGAGCGTAGCCTGTCCCCACTGGCCGCCTTACCCCTGCAGGCATGGGGGATCTAAAGACAAGCGCGCTCCGCTTCTCGCAAAATAACTACTCGCAAATGGCCTCGATCCGCCGCGAGGGATCTACGATCTATTACATCGACCAAACACATGTTGTTCGGACGTTTGCGAGTAGGCACTTTGCGAGTAGTGGACCGCACTCGGTGAATGTAGGCCGCTTCCTTCGGGGGGTGAGATGGTGGGGGTGAGATGGTGAGTAGTGGAACGCACTCGGTGAATGTACATGCCCAACTAGGGGGGGGGAGATGGTGGGGGTCGGGGTGCAGATGGGGATGGGCATCGGCGTCGGTCGAGCGATGCTGACCGTCCTCCTCCTCCTCCTCCTCCTCCTCCTTCTCCTCCTCCTCCTCCTCCTCCTCCTCCTCCTCCTACTCGTCCTCCTACTCGTCCTCGTCCTCGTCCTCCTCCTCGTCCTCCTCCTCCTCGTCCTCCTCCTCCTCCTCCGCCTCCTCCTCCTCCTCCTCGTCGGCCTCGTCCTCGTCCTCGTCCATCTCCTCGTCCTCGTCCTCCTCCTCCTCCGCCTCCTCCTCGTCCTCGTCCATCTCCTCCTCCTCCTCTTCCTCCTCTTCCTCCTCCTCCTCCTCCTCCTCCTCCTCCTCCTCCTCCCATCCCTCTCCCCTTCTGGACGACGGCGCCCCCCCCAGAACTCCATGGAACACCTCGCAATTGCCGAGCCCGAGGCCGCGGATGCGCTGCCGGGCCACCGGCACGCTGTAATCCTGCCGCCGCGGCCGCCGCCGGCCGCCGCCGCCCCACGCCCAGGGGTCGGGGGCTACGAGGAATGAAGGTGAAGCCAGGAGGAGGATCTAATCAGTAGAGGAAAAAAAAGTAGAGGGGACGAGGATCTAACCAGTAGAGGGGACGAGGATCGAATCAGTGGAGGGGGCGAGGATCTCATGATAAGAGAGAAAAGCAACAAAAACGCCATAGACTTTTTGGGCTCCTCGCGGGATTTCTTGGATCTGCGCCAGGGGTGGCGCCGGAGGCGCCACCAGGGGTCCCCCGCGCGGATACTTGAAATCCGCGCGGAGCGCCAACAAGTTTGTGTATGCCGTTTTGTTCTTCTTCGGATCAGGGGAGGATGCATCGGAAACCTCTGAGACCCCGCGGCTCTGGAGGAGGCCTCGGGCGCCGCGGCCTGCTCAGAGGGACGCAGCTCCTCGTCCCAGCCTCCGTTCGAGAGGTGCCTACGGCCAAGGGTGCCCCCAGTTGTTCGCTCCATTCCGGAGCCCCCGGGGCAGCTCGGGGCCCCGAGGCCGTGGGGGCCTCCCTGAAACTCCTGGGCACATCTCGGGCCAGGGGCACCTCTGGCAGCACGCGAGGAGGGGGAGCGCCTAGGGGGGCGGCCGGCTCCAGAGGGGAAGCCTCGAGCCGGAGTCTGCTCAAGGCCTTCGAACGCTTCTGTCGGTTCTTGGCGGCGTTCCCTATCCGCCTCCACCTTCCATACCTTCCGACCTCCGCGAGAAAAATACGGAATAATTCATCGAAGTGCCTGGAGGCCTTGCGCAAGCCAAGGGAAGCCACATAGATCGAACCGAAGAAGAGGGCGGAAGGCTCGGGCGGAGGGTCCGGAAGAATGAGGGGGAGGGTCCAGCCTCCGATGCCTTCCAGCTGCTGCGCCTCGTCGAGAGCATTCCCCAGAATCGTCCCGAACGGCCGCCAGAGGCCCGAGCTGTGACCCGGCGACAACCCAGGGACCGGCGCGGGGCGGGAGCCCTCGAGCCGGAATCTGCGATGCGTCGCCGATCGATCGGCGGGAAGCCCCCGACGGCGGGGCCGCAGGCTCCCGGGCGGGGTGGGCCATGGTCAAAAGGGGCCCTGGGACACACAAATAAATACACACAGATAACCAGATTCCAGATATTTACCCCCCCACTTCCCATATTTTCCCCCATGTTCTCTGGGAGTCGACGATTCATTGTGTCTGTTTTTTTTCCCCCTCCTTACGTGGGGTCCCTTCCGCAGGTGAGAGTGGGCCACTGGGGGCCGACGCGCCCCCCCCCCCCTGCGCCCACCACCCCCGAACGCGCTGCCCACGAACGCCACGGACGTCGCAGGTCGCCCTCGCCCTCGCCGCCGTCGACGGCGCCGTCGCCGTGGCCGCTGAGGCCGCCGTCCGCCGTCGACGCTGCGCGCCCTCAGCGCCGCCGTCGCCTGCCCGCGCGGAGTTCCGAACGATTATGTCTGGACATGTGCATCTCCTTTGAAAGAAACTGCCGAGAGCGTTTCAGGACCTCGGTCGCACTCCCCCACCACCCCTTCCCTCTCGAACCAGCCTCGAGCTCGTGCCCGTCCCAGAGATTGGCAGGCCGCGGCCGATGACAATCTTGGGACGCCCAGACGAGGTGACGTATATATGCCAACAGTGAGGCTTGGGATTTGTTTCGTGCTGGCTGACCGCTCACATCCGGAAGCCTCGAACTTCCTCCTCTAGGCTTGTCCCTCTATAGGATGGTCGTGCCGCGAGTGTGAGCTGGGGGGTCCGTTGCGATGCCTCGACTTCGCTTGCGGGTGGAATAACATTCCAGCGATGCTTTTTCGTCTGACCGAGGAGACTTCGGCGACTCAGGTGGCAGTCCAGTCCAGTCCCTTCGGGTCGGACGAAGGGGAGGAATAGCAAAGATTAGCGAATCAGCTCAATTGCCTGGTTGCTCCGCCCTCTCTTCGCCTCACCAGCGGATCGAGGTCGGACGAAAGGGAGGGACAGCCAGGGGGGCCAGCGAATCAGCTTACTCGTTTGGCTCTTCCGTCTGCTCTTCGCCTGACAGGAGGAAATCGACCCGCGGCGTGGCCGGCACCATTTGCGCGCAGCAGATTTGGCCCCCCCCCCCAAACTCCCCCCCCCCCGCCCTTCCTCCGACCAGGCACGCACCTCCCTCCTCCTCGGCGGCCGGCTCCGCGCCCGCCGTCCTTGCACTCCACCAGCACTACGCTCGCGTCCGGCCGCAGGTGCGCCAGCAGCACGCCCAAGTGCCCCGACCCCGCCCCGAACTCCACCACGCGCGCGCCCAGGGGCATGGCCTCTCCGGGCCGGGCCCGCCACCGATGCCGCCGCCGCGGCTGCTGCCGCAGCCGCCGCCGTTCGTCGGCTCATCGTTGTCATCGTCGTCGTCGTCGTCGTCGTGTTCCTCCCCCTCTTCCTCATTCTCCCAACCCTTCTCGGTCCCCACTCTCCCGCTTCCCGTCCTGCTCAGCCCCCCTGGTCGTCGTCCTCTTCCTCCGCAATCCGCCACGCTGCAGCGCTGCTGCGCTCTTTCACCAACAGCGCTGTGCGCGGTGGGGGTATCTGGATAGTAGGACTGACTGGTAATGCGGCCTCGTCCAACAGGACACCATAATCAAATAAAGGGAGGTCATGCTCCCTGCAAGGTCCTGGCAAAGTCCCTTCGGGGCACTGTTAATTTCATGGTCTGTCCCGGTTTCATAGTACATCGTGAGCAGGCGGTCCTAGTACATAATGTGATCAAAACCGCCGGCCCCCTTGCGGGACCACCAGGCTGCGAAGGTGAGGATTGCAGCTCCCTGTTCCAGTTGCATTTATCAGTTTCCACTGTTACAGTCCTGTTTCCGCAGCCTTCGAAAGTGGCGACAGCGTCGCAAATCGCAGCCCCCCAGGGACGGGGAGGTCTCGCTCAGGTCCGCGCGGTGCCTCGCTCCGCTGGACCCACCAACAGCCCTCGCAAGTGGCGACAGCGTCGCAAGTCGCAGCCCCCCAGGGACGGCGAGGTCTCGGTCAGATCCGCGCGGTGCCTCGCTCCGCTGGACCCACCAGCAGCCCTCGAAAGTGGCGACCGTTTCGCAGATCGCAGCCCCTCAGGGACGGCGAGGTCTCGCTCAGATCCGCGCGGTGCCCCGATCCGCTGGGCCCACCAGCAGTCCTCGAAAGTGGCGACCGTTTCGCAGATCGCAACCCCTCAGGGACGGCGAGGTCTCGCTCAGATCCGCGCGGTGCCCCGATCCGCTGGACCCACCAGCAGTCCTCGAAAGTGGCGACAACTTCGCAGATCGCAACCCCTCAGGGTCAGCGAGGTCGGAGACAGGTACCGCAAGCAACATGCACGCACAAGCGGTCCTTCCGCACAGGGCAAGAGGCGACAAGAAGGAGGGGTAGGTGCGGGAGGCCGCAGGCGGGAGGAAAAGGAGAAAGAGAAGTGGAGACCACATTGCTCTATTTACGTGAACGTTCGGCACTCCGCGCGGACTTCTGGCAACTGCGCTGGACCCCCTTCCATGGCGCGCGGAGCTCGCCAGGGGCGGCGCCAGAGGCGCCGCCGGGGGGGCCCAGCGCGGCTCACAAAAATCCGCGCGGAGCGCCGAAAGTGCATGTTCGTAGCATTTGTCCTCCTTCGAATGATGGGCCTGTTTTCCACCACCTCCACCATAAGTTGGACGGGGAAATGAGTAGGAGAATGAAGAAAAGGAGGAGGAGGAGGAGGAGGAGGAGGCCCCCCTCCACCTCCAACTTGTGGTGGTGGTGGTGGAAAACAGGCCCACCATCGAATCTCATCAACCCACCAGGGGGGCATTCCAAAGCCGCCCAGCCTCCATCGCGTATGCGGCCACGCCCACCACCTGGTCCCGCTTGCGGGCGGCTCGCGCCTCGTCCAGCTCGCCCTCTCGCACGCGCGCGGGGGGCAAGGCCGTCGTGGCAGTCCTCTTCGTCCTCCTCTTCCTCCTCCTCCTCCTCCTCCTCCTCCTCCTCCTCCAACTCCTCCTCTTCCTTCTCCTCCTCCCTCTTCTCCTCCTCCCTCCCTCCGTCCCTCCCTCCCTCCCTCCCATCTTCCCTCCCTCCGTCCCTCCCTCCCGCCCTCTCTCTTCTGTTCCTCGTTCCTCCTCCTCCCCTTCCCTCCCTCCCAGGGGCCAGGGGGAATCAGCTTCATCATCCTCTGGGTAATTTGTTTCCGCGCCAGCCACAATACAAATACCAATTGTTACCGTTGCTGCGAAATTCTCGTCGCCACGGCTGGATTCGCCTCGGAGATCTGGTCAGCGCGCGCCCGGGCAGATGTCCGGGAGGTAGCGTCGCGGCATCGGCATCTTCACGTTTCCCAGAATTGCCGTCGCTCGGACGTCCATTCCCCTTGGCACGATTCGATTGCGTGCGTGTTTTCCCGCACGATGATCCAATATCCTCCTTGATGATCCCCGCCGAGGAAGGCACACGTCCGACTGATGCCAAGCAAATCGCCCCTGCGTAGCATCTGGGTGACGACGGTGACTCTCCGCAAAGCGTGGCCCCAGGGCGAAATGCTCCGCTGGCGAACGGCAGAGGTCGCACGTCCCAAGTCCTCTGCCGAGGCATCCGTCAAGGCGCAATGCCGCCTTGGTCACAGCAGGCCTGGAACCTCCCCCAAACAAGTATCTGTTATGTCGCAGCGCGGCAGAGGAAGGTTCGTGGGGGGGGTCCGCGTCAGTTTCAGTTGTGAGGACAGTGAAACAGTTTCAGAAGAACTGAAGAGAGGGATGACAACCCTCAGTGAATGAGCCCAATTGCCTGTTTCGTCCTAGGAAATCACCTCGGTCCGAAGCTCAGGGGGACCAGACGCGAAATGCTGGATTGTTCACTTAAACAGACTTTCTGTTTCTCTTCTCGACATCCTGCCAATCTTCAGCCAACTTCTAGACTTGAGCCTCAACCTGCGAAATCAGTTTCCGAAACTATGTGAAGAAATACTGAACCCCATTCTGAACTACCTCGTGAAAACCGCCAACTGTATCGAAGGAAAGAAAACGGCTAAAGACATATGGGTATCGTATTCGGGTTTCTTGTGCCGGATACACCGTAGACTTCGACTCCAACGTTGTGACCCTCAAGATTTCGGTGATCACACTTCGAGAGGGCTTCTTGGGGACCAGCTTACCTATATTATTTGAGAAAACGGTGAACGGGTATCACTTCTCAATCGATTTCAACATCTCTCACACGCTCGACAAGTCGAAGTATATCGTTGGGTAGGCATATCGGCCTTTCCGAAATACGTTTCGGCTCAGGCTCAACGTATACAGCCAGAGCCCCTCGACACCAGCCTCCTCGTCGGGGCAGTCTATGGCCAGGTCATGCATTCATCGCAACCAGACCCTCCAAGGGACGAGCGGCTTCATGGAACAAGTCAAGTGCAGGGATTATGGAGAGACTCTCTTCAAGTACATGCTAAATCGGGTGCAGAACGAGCAGCTGGCTCTCTGTACCAAGTCCCGCGAGAACTTCCAGAGACTGGAGGCGACGGGGTATGCCCAAGTACTACCACGACCCTCATGCAACCCAACATGGAACTCATCATCGAGCAGCACGGAGACGGAGATGGAGAAGCCAACTACCGGAGCGCCTACGCCTACTTCGGCCAGGCCACTACCAAGCCGTCTGCCATCGGAAGTCATCAGGACGCTGACGGACACCGAGGTGCAGCAGATTATCGAGAACGAGAGGCAGGCCATCAGGAACGATGAGCACACCACGCTGGCCAAGGAGATCATCCAGAAGGGCCTCATCGACACGCCAGGTCTCAACGACAAGTCGAATGTGAACTGCAACCTGTTCAAGGTGGAGGAAGAAACCATGGAGAAGCCCAAGGCAAGCAAGAGGTTCGGGGTACCCGAGATGGTCAGCAGCAGCAGCAGCGGCGTCAAGGACGTCAGGAACATCCCAGTGCCGGAAAATCTGCCGACGCCGTCAGGGATGCCGAGGCCGTTCGGGGACTTTCACGCGGTGTGAAACCAAAGATGTGGAGTGCTCTGTTAGCAGCGGTGACAGCGCTGAATCACACGCCGAAGTTGGCCTGGGACGCAGCGGAGAACTACGAGAGATTGGACTTGGCAGAGGCTTGTGTGGCGGACTCAAGGCTATCGAAGGCGGCGATGGAAATAGGTGACAAGGCCGAGAGGTTTAGCAACTGGAACGGCTACGACTTCTCGACGCGTACCAGGGCAGAGGACATTCTGATGATACTCAAAGAGAAGAGGCCGAGAGAGGTCCGGTTCTCCCCACCTTGTGGGGCAGAGTGCCCGCTTCAGAACCTGAATCCCATCACCGAGGAGTCCGAGAAGAAGCTGATCAAGACGAGGAAGATTCAGAGGAACCTGCTGTGGGTGATCAACACGCTCAAAGAAGAGGACTTCGGTGACATCAATTTAGAGCAGCCAGGAATGTGCAGATCATGGACGGGTAACCTCAAGGAAATCAAGGGGAAGCTCTCTAGCGCCGTCATCCATGGATGCATGTACGACATGAGGGGCGAGAAGGAAGGCGCGTTGCTGAAGAAGAAGTGGTGCATCGCGACCTCAGACGAGAAGTTCAGCGAGAACGTTGTGAGAGTAAGCCAAAATCTTCATGTTCATCTACCTCTTGAGGGAAGCACTCGAGCGGCACTCTCAGCTAACTACCCCGCGAACATGTGCAAGCATATCGCCAAGTACTTCATGATCAAACCCTCGTCAGACGATGCTCTAAGCTTTCTCGTGAAGTCGCGCAATGAGCTGGAACAAGGAGGAGTGTTTGCCGCAAGGCACAGGTACACGACGAAGCGACCAGCTGACGCAGATGACCCAGAACTCGGGAACGCAAGCGACCAACCCTGGAACCAGCAGAAGTACCGCAGGCACCGGAAGGAGATGATTCAGCAAAAGAGAAAGGGACTCGCGCCGGGAAGGAGGAGCGCGATGCTCGACCCGAAGATGGAGGCGAAGCTCGTTCAGTAGGGAACCTTCGACTACCACTTCCGAAAAGCGTACAAGGGTGCTCTAAGCGAGAGAACAGAGATCTGGAGGCTATCATCGCACATGTACATCGCAACTTCGGGCACTGCAGCATGAGGACAGTCGAGGCAGCCCTTAAGAGCAGGAAGGCCAATGAGAAGATCATCGACCTGTGCAACCACTACGAATGTCCCTCCTGTAAGGCAGCTCAACGTTTTCAACTCCGGCCGATTGCGAGATCAGAACGTTCGGTGGCACCGCTGGGGAAGGAGCTGGGCTGCGACAGCTTCTACTGGACCCATCCTCGTAGAGCATATCATGTTCGTGGAGCGCTACGCGCATATTACGGAAGCCGCTACGTCAAATGCCAGCTGGAAAGCTGCACCAATACCACTACCACTCCCACTGCTGGTTCTCACCACATGGATTCTGCACTATGGTAAACCAAAGGTACTTCGCACAGATCCTGCAGGGTTGCTTTCGCCAAGCTGAGCCCCGTGCGTGGACGTCGGGCAACGGCGTCGAGCGGAGACCGGAACCAAGTGAAGCTCGCTGGAGGATGGGCGCGAGCGGGAGGAGCATCGAGACGATCAAAGAGATTGCGAATCGCATCGCGTGGGGGCTCCCAAACGACACCGACCCGAACGAGATTTTCACGTGGGCATGTGCCGCGAACAACGACCTGATGCGTCACAAAGGATACAGTCCGTTCATGCTGATGATGGGTCGTACCCCGCCGGGGCAAGGTCTAGAAGATGAAAATAACCCCTCGGTGCTCAGAACTCACATGATCGACAAGAACTTCCAGGGCCTCACCGCGGTCAAGAAGGCAGCGTACAAGGCGCGCGTAGACCACTACCTGTCGGAGAAGTCAAAGAGGGCGCTGCTGGCGAAGACGCGGCCGTTCAAGACGTGGGAAACAGGCGAGAAGGCACGCCGCCGGCGAAGCTCCAAAAGGAACAGTCACCAGACCAAACAGGGCATGGCTGGACGATTTCACGGGCCAGCTACAGCACTCATGCAAGAGCGCGAGAATAAGGATGGAGCTTGCGAGCGCGGAGGAATAATCTGGCTGGTAGATGGCGACCGCCTGGTACGAGCCGCTTCAGCACACCTACGTACTACTGCGAAGGCAAAGCAAACGCTGGATAACATCTCAGCAGGAAGTTCAGATCATTTCCGGAAGATAGTGCACGAACTCACCAAGGGCTCGTTCGACGACCTAGTGGACCAAGCTGGGCCTGACAAATGGGACGACATACCAGAATGTGAAGCCGACGAGCAACCTGGACACGCACCGCCAGCACATCACGAACCAGCCGCTCGAGCAGAGGAAGGTCACCACGAAGAAGAGGAATCTCCACCAGGACCTCGTCAACGAGATGAAGAGCACGGAGGCGAGGTATATCAAGAAGAAAAGGAAGATGGCGAACGCCGCCCTGCACGACCAGCTCGACCAGCTCAATGGAACAACGAACCGCCACCGGAAGGAATCAATAAGCGCGAAGCCAGTACAGAGCCTCCTGATAATCGCGAGGTAAAACGTCAGCGAGCTGACTGCTTAGGCTATCTAGCAGAGCTCAACGAGAAGGTACCGTTCGTTGCGCTGCAAGGTACTCTGCGAGAGAAACCCGAAGGAGGATGATCAGAAGAATGGAAGGCTCCCTGGGAACACACCCAGAAATTACGAAGAGGGGATCTGATAGGTCACGTCGGAGGAGAAGCTGCAGCACTGGCAGTCACAATTGTATTCGAGATGGAGGAGAATAACGTGAACCTGCTGCACCAGAAACAGGAGAAAAGCCCTGACAGCCTTGGTGCAGCAGAATAAAGTAGAAGTGCACCTAAAGAACCTTACTCCGGAAGAAAGAGCTCAACTGCCAGCAGCAAAGAGTAACGAGATCAAGTCGTTCATGAAGTACAAGGTCTGCGAGGCGGCTCGTCGAGCAGGAGTGCATCCCAGAGCCCTGATGAAGACGCGCTGGGTCATCACTCGAAAAGAATCGGGGGATCTGAAAGCCCGACTCGTCGCGCTAGGGCACGCCGATCCCAGCCTTGGCCAGATCCAGACCGCATCGCCAACGCGCAGCCGCAGAGCGAGACATATGTTATTGGGAGTCGCTGCGTCGATGAGGTTCCAGGCGTTCAAGGGCGACGTCACGGCCGCGTTTCTCCGGGGGGATCTAGGAGAAGAAGATCGCAACGTTCTGGCCGAGCCAGTGAAGGAGTTGCGAGAAGCAGTGCAGCTGGAACACCATCAGTGCATCAAGCTGACGAGGGCAGTCTACGGCCTGGTGAACACGCCGAGACGTTGGTGGTCCCGAGAGAGGAAGGACATGGACAAGCTGGGCTGGGTCGAGTCCATTACCGAGCCGTGCTTATGGTACCCCCCCCGACAAGAATGACAAGTTGTGCGGCTTGGCAGTGGCGAGCGTGGACGACTTCATGATTGCTATCGACAACGTCTAAGTTTGCCGCGGACGCACTTCAACGACTTCATCAAGCCTACGAGTGGGGCAGTTGGAAGAATCGAGACTTTGTGCAGTGCGGGGCAAGGATCAGACAGGAGTACGACGGCCGTGCAAAGACTTGGGGGCGCATTCATCTCAACATGGTCGACTACGCGCAAGCACTGAAGAATATCGACATGCCGACGCAGCGCCGCAAGGACATCGAGCCAACGGTTACGCCAAACGAGGCCACCCAACTTCGAGCAGTCCTAGGACAACTTATGTGGTTGGCGACTCAAGGAGTACCTCTGATTTGCGCAGAGCTGCCCTCGCTGCTGGCGCACACGAACACGGCCACCATCAACGCGCTCTTGCAGGCCAACAAGCTGATCCAGAGAGCGAAGATAGAGGCCCAGAAGAAGCTGATCATGGAGAAGCATCTCAACCCTTGCACCGTTGGGCATTCGGATGCCGCCTGGGATGTTCGACGAGATGGTCCGTCACAGGGGGGCTTCCTGATCTTCGTGACGGACTACAGCCTGATGCAGAATAAAGAAGCGCCGATTTCACTGATAGCGTGGGCGCCAGCCAAGTTACCTCGAGCGTGCCGGAGTTCGAGTGCGGCAGAAGTACAAGCAGCAAGCGAGGCGCAGGAGGAGCTGGAATTCTGCAGACTGGCACTGGGCGAACTGCTACTGGGAGCGACACCTCTGCAGCAGTGGGCGACCGGATGTGCGAAGATTCCAGGAGCTCTAGTAGTGGACTGCCGCGGCGTGTTCGATGCGTTGGACAAGTCGGAGAGCAGCGCGCTAGGCATGAAGGACAAGAGGAGTGCACCGGAGGCCCTGGCTCTGGAAAGAGGCATGGCGGCGACAACAACTTCGTTGAGGTGGTGTCACAGCGGCGCGCAGCTATGCGATTGCATGACGAAGAACTCCGAGAAGGCGAGAGCGAGCTGTAACCTGCGGCAGCAAAGAGGAAGCTGGAAGCTGATCTACGACGCGAACTTATTGCGGATAAGGCCAAACAGAAGAAAGGCATGGACACCCTCGACCAAGAGACGTTCTTCGCAGTGGATGAAGATGATGCGTGGCAACTCTATCCGGATGACTTGGAGATCGAGACGGAGTCGGAAATCGTGGCAGACTACCGACACCCGGAGGCGCGACGTCTGATGATGGAAGACGCGACGCCCCAATAAAGATGGACTACACATGGAGTGTCTTACCTGAGCTAAAGACTGAGGACTATCACTGACGGTTCGGGGCATGTCAGTTTCAGTTGCGAGGACAGTGAAACAGTTTCAGAAGAACAGAGAGGGATGACAACCCTCAGTGAATGAGCCCAATTGCCTGTTTCGTCCATAGCAACTTTGGCACGAGCCGCTTGCTAGCGTGAGTGGTGAATACAGTATCTTACCTCGGTCCGAAGCTCAGGGGGGCCAAACGCGATATCTTGGATTGTTTACTTAAACAGAGTGTCTGTTTCTTTTCTCGACATCCTGCCAGTCTTCAGCCACTACGTGCCCTCTGGCGATCTAGGGAGCATCTTGGACTCGTCTGTAGGACACGTTCGCGGACGCAGGCCCAAGGACCTCTCAGATTGTAAAGACATCGAAGCGAAAGGCTGAGATCCGTGGAAAGCACGCTCCACTGACAGTCCAGGGGGGTGGCCCCGGGGGGTGGTCCCCAGAGGTGGCCCCACGGGGGGCGGCCCCGGGGGGTGGTCCCAGGGTGGACAGGCGCGTTCCACTACTTGAATGAATCCGCCCTTCTGCCAGAAGTTGCTATAATGTATTAATTTACATAGAACTTATGAAATACGATCATGGTTACTTAGAATAGTTCTTCGAATCGCATGGTAATCGTGCTACACTTATATGAGACAGAATTTAAAAGTGTAATGAATGAAACATCAGATAACGACTTGGTTCATGTTGATGCCAATGCATGGTGCATTGAGACCAGAAACATGTACAGAGGCGGATTTCAATGTTGAGCTCTGGTTAACATGTCGAACTGTTCAACACTTCAAGGCTGTCCGGGCGAGATATTTTATTTTTTAATATAAAAAAACGCCCCTGCGAGACGCAACGTGCGCATGTGTTGCAACTGAGCTGAAGAAGCGCTGCAAGGACGAAGTTGCGAAACGCTCTCCTGCAACACGCACGGGCATACGGTTTTGCATCTGGCCTGAAAAACGGCCGGGCTGAGACTTCCAAACGCTGCCCCGCGGTTGAACATGACGTTCAGTGTTCCACTTTGGCGCGCCGCCCATCAGGCCCCATGCGTCGCGTTCGACGCCTGCCGCGCCACGTGGCCTGCAGTCGTCGGCGACGCGCGCATTGCTCACGACGTGGCCCTCGAGGTCCTGAGGGCGCTGGCCGCAGGCATTCTGGCTCGAGCGCGCGCGGCCCGCGTTCGAAGCGCGGATCATGGGCCGACGGTCAGAGCGGGGGCGGAAGCTCGGGCGCCTGGATGCGTTCAAGCGCAAGGCCCCTAACGCGTCGGCCTCGGCCCTGAACGCCACCCTGGAGGAGTGCAACCGCGGCCCCTTCCAGAGTTCAGGAGACGCAGTGCCATTTGGGTGGCGCGGTGCCGCTCCTGCGCGGCAGCGGCGAGCGCGGAGCGCTTCTCGCCAAGCTGCGCGCGGGGCGCGCGAGCGGCTCGGTAGACCACGCGTTGGCGGCCAGCCCGCTCGCCTCCCCCGGCGAGGCGCGCGCCGCGGGCGGCGGCTCTTCGAAGGCCATGCAACGCATCATCGTCTCGCGGCTTCCATACATGGATGCGGTCCATAGCGACGCGGTTGTCCCGGGCAACCAGCTGTCGGGCCACGACCAGCGGAAGTGCTGGGGCGCCCGCGTCTCCCCCGCCCAGGTTGGGGCCGCTGCCGACGGGCGAAGACGCGTGGATGCGCCCTGCCTGCGGGCGGACTGACAGAGTGAGAACGCACCGCAGCGGCATCGCGCAGGTCTTCGGAGCCCTGCTCAAGATGATACGCAACGTCCTCTGTCGGAAATTCGACGCAGGGGCCGCCCTGGACTTCCCGGGCGGCCGCAGCGCGAGGCTCTGCGCGGAGCCCGCCATGATCTGGCAAGACGGCGGCGCCCAGAGAAAAAAAGTCTCCTGCGGGAGGGGCGGCGCGAGCCACGCAGCGCGCGCCCTCTGCAAAAAAACTTGCGTTCAACAAGCAGCGGGATCGCGCGCGGGGACAGGGGGAGACCTTCTATCGCGCAACATCGCCGTCGGGTCCGCCGTGGACTTCGCGACAGGCGATGAATTGCGAGCCAGCGTCGAGAATTTGGCGGCCATCGCTAGGACCGAGCCTGCCGAGCTCAAGATCCGAGAGATGGCAGCGGGGATCAACCGCGCCAGGTTCGACCTCCTTCTGGCGAAGGACCTGCGCAACGTCGCGAAGCCTGCGAGCTGTTTCGCTCGTGATTGGATGCGCGCGTTCGCCGTGCACGGCGCCTGGAACGCGACGCTGTACCTTTTGATGGGCGGCCTGCTGGCTCAGGAGGCGCGCGCCCCTGCGGCTGTCCACGGGCTCCTGGGGCAGTGGAGTCGTCCGCCAGGGTTGGGCGCGAAGTCTGCAGCCCCTCGTCGGCGTCTTCTCGCCGCCCCAATGGAAAGCGCGCCTCGAGGCCAAGTGCGTAAAGCGCACTGCGTCAGAGGCGATCTCTATGCACAGCAGGATCGTGCACTTTGCGCGGGAAGTGTGGCTCGGGCAGGCACTTGCGCCAAGGAGTGCGAAGCGTGCCTTGCGTGCGCCCGTCCATCATGGACCTCTTAATTGCCGTGCAGCACGGCATCGTGAGGACGGGGGATCTCAAACTCCAGGTGGACAGGTTCTTGCAAGCGAGCGTGCTTGGACGCAGGGCGGCGTGCGCACCTGCACCCAAAACTCCACTGGCCCCAGCACAAAAATCTCGGCACTCCACTGGCGCGCTGTACTCACGAAAGGAAGCACCATATGGTTAAAGGGTTTTCGGCTGATTATGACATCAGCCGCGAAACTCGGCCGTACTCAGGGCGCAGCGATCGGCCGATGCCATGACCACCCCAAGTTGTCGGAGGGCATGCGCAATGCAGCTTCCATGGAGAAGTGTGCCCTGTCCGAAGAGACGCGCAAGCACCTCCACGACCTGACGTCGCCGGACGACAAGGTCCCAAGAGGGGGCAGGACGGTGAACCCAAACGGACATTTTGAGCCCTCGGCCCAAAGACGCGCCCAAAAGGCCCAAAGAAGCCCCGAACAGCCCCCCAAGAGGCTCCACAAGGCCGCCAAGAGCCCCCAAGAAAACCCCACAAGAGGCCCCCAAGAGGCCCCCCGGAGGCCCAAAGAGGCCACGAACGCGCAGGCAAACGCCTGCGATGGTACAGTACGGGCCAGCGGAATGAGCAAAACGATTGAATAACAACGCTCCTCCCCGTCGCGTTCCAAGGCTGGTCGAAAAGGCGGGCCGGGCGTTTCGCCTCAGACATCCTCACCATTTGTGACCCTGAAGCATAACACGTGGCAACAATTTCACAAATGGAGGGCGGGTGGTTTTGAAATGTTGCTCTCGCCTCAGCGCCGCAACTATTCGTCGTAAAACATTCCAGGTTTTGACAGATGAGCGCGGGTGGTTTTCAAAAGGTGGCTCTCGCCTCAGCGCTGCGCACATTCGTCTGTAACATTTGCAAGGAATTCACGGGTTGAGGGCGGACAGTTTTGAGAATGTTGCTCTCGTCCCAGCGCTGCGCACATTCGTCCTCTGCACTTGCCAAGAGGTTCACGAATATAAGGCGGGTCCTTTTCAAAAGGTGGCCCTCGCCTTGGCACTGCACGCAATCGTTCCAAACTGCTGCAAGAGCTTCACGGCTTGAGGGCAGTTCATTTTCAACATGTGGTTCTCTTCCTACAGCTGCGCATATTGGTTGCAACAATTTGCAACAACTGCACGGATGGAGGACGGTTCCTCTTCAAGATGGGGCTCTCGCCTTAGCGACGCGCGCATTCGCCTTCAGAGTCTGCAACAGTTTCAGAAAGTATCACGGCTAGCATCCTACACACTGTATGTTGGTACGATGTCGGAACTTGAGGGCGCGACAGTCACGTTGATTCGCGGTGATGGAAAATCCAGGAATGCTCTTCTGCCATTATTCGGATTCGCCTAGGCGCAACAGTGATGGTGTTCTGGCACAGTTTCGGATTTTCAAACGGTCGTCTTCCAACGCGCACTTCCCTCAGTGAACATGGATCCTTGCAGGAGCCAAGGGGAATCGAAATCGAACTTGTAGGGAGGATTTATTGCGATATGGAAAATGGTTCTTGGGTTTACACGAGTCCACATCCTCCTCCTCCTTTTCCTTCGCGACCCCCGATCCTCCTTCTCGACCCGCTCCTCCTGTTCCTCCTCCTCCTCCTCATGCTCTTCCTCCCCCTCCTCATCGACCCCCCCGTTCCTCTCATCCTCGACCCTCGATCGTCCTCCTCCTCGATCCTCCTCCTCCTCCTCATCCTCCGTCTCCTCCTCCTCCAATTCCTTTTCCTCCTCGACCCACCCTCCTCCTCGATCCTCCCCCCCCTCCCCCTCGACGACCCTCGATCCTCTTCGTCCTCCTCCTCCTCCTACTCCTCCTCCTCCTCCTCCTCCTCCTCCTCCTCCTCCTCCGTCTCGTCCTCCTGGATCCTCCCTCCTCCTCCTCGATCCTCCCCCCCCCTCCTCGACCCGCGCGCCGGCCGGCCACGGCCCGCCCGGCCAGGGCGACGCCCGCCTCCGCGGGGTCCAGGCCGGCGGGCGCCTCGCGCCAGCGCGCGTCACAGGGCGGCTGCGGCAGCGCCTTGCGCCGGTCGCTTCGGCTCGTCGGCGACGAATGATCAAAATTCCGTTTCTGGCGAGATGGTTGCGTCCGTAGTTTTAGCACTGGCGGGAGAGACGAGTTTGCAGCAGTCGTGCTTCCCCACCTTTGCAACCATGTGTTTCAGAGGCCCCGCGCGTACAGAGGAGTTCGAGCACAACAAAAACCTTCCACAACAAAAACAAACCCTGAGACCCCAGGACGTCCATCGATTTTAGGGGGTGGGAGCGTCGCGCTTTCCAGAGCGAAACCATCGAAATCCAAGAAACCCAAGCCACTCTGGAGGCAAACGAAGTGTTTCTTGGCACGGGTACCCACCGCAATACTACGGATCCCCATCCTCCTCTCTCCTCCCCTCTCCGCCCTCGTCGACGTCGTCGCTGTGCTCGGCGTCGCCGTCCTCCGCGTCGTCGTCGTCGACGCTCGTCGTCGCTCATCGTCGACGACACTTGTCGTCGCTCGTCGTCGCTCGTCGTTGCCGTCGACACCAGGGTCTTGCCTGCGAGAGCCCGATGCGGACCTGACCGCGACGGCGGGGCCCACCACGAGGCCCACAGCAAAGCGGGCGCGCGGCGCCGCCCGTGCAGCGGTAACCCAACGCCCCAAAATGATAACCCCAGGGGGAACACAAAATTCGGGGGTCTGGCGGGGATAATCAACGATGATGAAGATGATGATGGTCCCTGGCGCTCGCGTAGACTGACCATGTAGATCTCGGCACAAAACTGGCTCGACAGACCTCGAGTCTCGCGGCTACAGCTTGCCTGCGCGAGAGAAGTCCTTGGCGCTTTTGGCCAAGAAACCTCCCTTGCGCACGACCTCGAACCGCTCGCCCACGCAGGCTCGGTACCCTTTGGGGCCGCCCTTGCGCGGGAGGCACTCGTGGCAGGCCTCGGCGGCAGCGCTTGCCTCCTCGAGGGTGGCATGCTTCGGCTTGACCGCTGCGGCGTCCTCGAAGGGCTTGGACTTGGCCATGCTCTCGGCCTTGGCCTTTGCCTTGGCCTTGGCCAAGTCGTTGCCGCTGGCCCCCATGAGCTTGTATATCCACTCGTTGCCTCGGGCGCGCATCGCGTCGACGCCCGCGGGCGCTCGGCGGCCCTCGCCTCGGATCTCGCGCGGGGCGCGCTCGATCCAGCGACTCGCCCACAGGCCGCAGGACCAGGCGTCGCCCTGGAACCTCTCGTTGCTCCTCGAAGGGCAGGCGTCGCCGTGCTCGCAGCCCTCGGGCCAGTCGTCGAAGTGGAAGCAGTTCTCGTCGAGGACGCTCCGCTCGGGCACGGGCGGCGCGCCAGCGGGCCACCTGGCGTGCCCTCCAGGCCCTCGCTCGCCAGCCTCTGCTCGAAGCCGCGGCCGGGCTCGACGGAGTAGCTCCACGGCTCCGCGCCCGTGGCGACCTCGAGCTCGCCCTGCCGTCGGCCGGGTCGCGGGCATATGGTTCGCTCGCAGCCCTTTGAGCGGCGCCGCGCCCTTGTTCTTCTTCTTGCGGAAGCGGGCGCAGGCCTCGGGGATGCAGCGGAAGCTCTCGCAGGGCCCCCATTGGGTCGGGGACTTGTGCTGCCTCTGGGGCCCGGCCTTGACCTTCTGGATCCAGCGATGCCCCATGGCCCATTGCATTTCGGCCGCGACCCCTCGGATCGCGGCCTCGAGCTGGCTGCGGTCGCGTGGGTGCGGCCCCTACATGAAACATGAAGCTCGCGGCGTCGGGGGCCGCTGTCGCGTGGGCCACGTTCCCGATCCGCGCTCGGAGCGCGACTGCCTCGGTTTATTGGCTCGAGAGGCAGTCTCCGAACGCGAGGCCCCGGCCGCGCTGCTGTTCGATGACGCCGATTGTCCAGGAGGCGACGAGCTCGCCGGCCCGGGCCCTGGGCTGCTCCACGCGTCGATGGCCTCGAAGGCCCTCGCGCGCCCCTCCTCGGAGAACTCGAACAGAGCGTTGCGCCGGCCCTTGAGCCTTGAGCCATGCTCCTTCGGGCTCGCCTGCTCGGAAGCGTTCCGCCTCGCCGTCGCCCCGCTCGTAGGTGACGTCGCGCCGCCAGGTGCCCTCCTCGAGGTCCACGTCGCTCACTCGGCAGTGCCTCGCACTGGGTGCGAGGAGCGCGCTGCGCTACATGGCGGACTCGGCCCCCCTGCAGACCAGCCCACGACTGCGGAGATGTTGATGAGGGTGGTCCTGCACTTGTCCCCGGCGCTCGCGTAGGCTTCGCCCACTTGCTCCTTCTGGTCGGGGTGCTCTGCCTTGGCCTTCGCGGCCTCGAAGGCTGCCTCGTCGCCCTCTTCCTGCGCCTCGCAGAACTTGCGGCGGAGGTTCTGGATGCGTCTCTTGGCGCCTGCAGCGGAAATCTCGTTCTCGCGGACGCGCGCCTGCTCCTCGCCCCGGAGTTTGAGCCGAACCACGGCGGCGTCGACGACGACCGCGCTCGCGCTGGCCCCCTGCCGAGCGAAGGCCCCGGGGCCCCCGGCGCAGAAGCCGAGGTTCTCGGAGACGCCACTCGCCTCCAGGTGCACGGGCCTGCCCGACGTATACCAGTAGTAGTAGTAGTAGTAGTAGTAGTAGTAGTCGTAGTAGTAGTAGTAGTAGTAGTAGTAGTAGTAGTAGTAGTAGTAGTAGTAGTAGTAGTAGTAGTAGTAGTAGTAGTAGTAGTAGTAGTAGTAGTAGTAGTAGTAGTAGTAGTAGTAGTAGTAGTAGTAGTAGTAGTAGTAGTAGTAGTAGTAGTAGTAGTAGTAGTAGTAGTAGTAGTAGTAGTAGTAGTAGTAGTAGTAGTAGTAGTAGTAGTAGCTAGTAGTAGTAGTAGTAGTAGTAGTAGTAGTAGTAGTAGTAGTAGTAGTAGTAGTAGTCGTAGTAGTAGTAGTAGTAGTAGTAGTAGTAGTAGTAGTAGTAGTAGTAGTAGTAGTAGTAGTAGACGTAGTAGAAGTGGTAGTAGTAGTTGCAGTGGTAATCAATCGCAGTAGTAAATTGTTACGCATTTGGTGGTGGTAATACGTAATCAATGATATTCAGTTAGTGGTGGTAGTAGTAGTAGTAATCATTGTGGTGGTGGTAGTTGTAGTGTAGTAGTAGTAGTAGTAGTAGTAGTAGTAGTAGTAGTAGTAGTAGTAGTAGTAGTAGTAGTAGTAGTAGTAGTAGTAGTAGTAGTAGTAGTAGTAGTAGTAGTAGTAGTAGTAGTAGTAGTAGTAGTAATAGTAATAGTAGTAGTAGGGACGGGCCAAGGAAAAGAGCGGAGGATGGCCCCAGGATTTCTTTTTTGTCCTGACAGCGAAGACTGATAGGTTTCTAATAGGGTCAAAAGAGAGCATCATGACGCCCAACGGGGGTCTGGGCGCGATCCGGGGGAGGATGCCGAGGACTCTTTTTTTGCAAACAATACCACGCTTCGTGGCCTTCGAGTTCCCAGAACTCCATTCCTGTGCATGAGTTTGAATGCCCGGAGCCAAATGTAGGCCACTTCGTGTTCTTCGAGTTCCAAGAACTCCATTCCTGGGCATGATTTTCAATGCCCGGAGCCAGCTGTAGGCTGTAGGCCACTTCGTGGTCTTCGAGTTCCCAGAACTCCATTCCTAGGCATGATTTTCAATGCCCAGAGCCAACAGTAGGCCACTTCGTGGTCTTCGACCTTCGAGTTCCCAGAACGCCATTGCTGGGCATGATTTTGAACGCACGGGGCCAACTGTAGGCCACTTCGTGTTCTTCGAGTTCCCAGAACTGCATTCCCGGGCCACATTTTGAATGCTGAGGCAGGCTGGTGCTGAGGCTGAGGCAGGCTGAGGCTGAGGCAGGCTGAGGCTGAAGCCGAGGCTGAAGACAGACTGAGGCTGAGGCTGAAGCAGGCTGGGGCTGAGGCTGAGGCAGGCTGAGGCCGAGGCTGAGGCAGGCTGATGCTGAGGCAGGCTGAGGCCTGAAGCTCAGGCTGATGCAGGCTGAGGCTGAGGCAGGCTGAGGCTGAGGCTGAGGCTGAAGGCAGACTGAGGCTGAGGCTGAACCAGGCTGAGGCTGAGGCTGAGGCTGAGGCAGGCTGGGGCTGAGGCTGAGGCAGACTGAGGCTGAGGCTGAGGCAGGCTGAGGCTGAGGCAGGCTGAGGCTGAGGCCGAGGCTGAAGACAGACTGAGGCTGAGGCTGAAGAATGCTGAAGCTGAGGCTGAGGCAGGCTGAGGTTGAGGCTGAGGCAGGAGGCAGGCTGAGGCTGAGGCTGAGGCTGATGCAGGCTGAGGCTGAGGCAGGCTGAGGCTGAGGCCGAGACTGAAGCAAGATTGAGGCTGAGGCTGATGCAGGCTGAGGCTGAAGCTAAGGCAGGCTGAGGTTGAGGCTGAGGCAGGCTGATGCTGAGGCAGGCTCAGGCTGAGGCTGGGGCTGATGCAGGCTGAGGCTGATGCAGGCTGAGTCTGAGGCAGCCTGAGGCTGAGGCTGAAGCAGGCTGAGGCTGAGGCTGAGGCAGGCTGAAGCTGAGGCTGATGCAGGCTGATGCTGAAGCAGGCTGAGGCTGAGGCTGAGGCGCATGCAAAATGAGGCTGAGGCAAGCGGAGGCGGAGGCCGAGGCTGAAGGCAGGCTGATGCTGAGGCTGAAGCAGGCTGAGGCTGAGGCTGAGGCTGAGGCTGAGGCTGAGGCAGGCTGATGCTGAGGCAGGCTAGGGCTGAGGCAGGCTGATGCTGAGGCAGGCTGAGACTGAGTCTGAGGCTGAGGCTGAGGCTGATGCGGGATGAAGCTGAGGCAGGCTGTGGCTGAGGCCGAGGCTGAAGGCAGACTGAGGCTGAGGCTGAAGCAGGCTGGGGCTGAGGCTGAGGCAGGCTGAGGCTGAGGCTGAGGCAGGCTGAGGCTGAGGCAGGCTGAACCTGAGGCTGAGGCTGAGGCACGCTCAGGCTGAGGCAGGCTGAGGCTGAGGCCGAGGCTGAAGGCAGAGTGAGGCTGATGCTGAAGCAGGCTAGGGCTGAGGCTGAGGCAGGCTGAGGCTGAGGCTGAGGCTGAGGCAGGCTGATGCTGAGGCAGGCT